TTATATGCTTGGTCACCAATGGTAGTTAACAAAACTGCTACTTGCCTGTTTCCCTCTATCATGTTCGCCATAAAATACTGTTCAAGTCTTTCTTGATATATTGTCCATTCACCGCTGATATGAAACTCAGGAATAGATCCAATATTGCCATAGACTCTGATCATTTGAGCGCTTTGCTCTATTGAGTTCGGATTTGTCTTATTGTTCGGTGCCATCACCTTGATCACTGTCACCGTTACTCAAACAATTTACTTATACAGTGAATTTAAACAGAAAGTTTGCAAACACGATATTTATAATTTACCTCGTCGCCATTGTTATATATTTAGTAAAAGTATACTATTATTACCTTTTTATATTATGGACATTTACTTATATAGAAAGAAAAGAAAGAAAAGGGGCACATGCTTTTCTTTGATCGTAACGACTGCCCATAGATTATTTATTTTTTTACTGAGTTACAATTTAGGTTAGGTGCAGAGCAGTGTTGCCTTCATACCAATATATTACAAATGATATGGCAACATTGTACGTAAACTCGTTCTCAATCGTATTCTTTTTTGGGTTTTTTTAGGGTCAGTGGTAAGTTCTTTGTTATTTTTAAGTGTTCTCAATCGTTCGATAGCCGTAATGGACGGGCGCAAAATCACGGTTGACAAAAATCTCCCGGTCGCGTTCAGTTCGATTTTAGGCTGGATTTTGATGGGACCAATTTCCGAGGGGGAACTGGCGTCATTTCATTCATTACCGGTGTCCCTTACTATTTCCCTAGAAGGACTCATGCATCGCTTTTGGGAAGTCGAAGAGCCTGAGGTTGCTCCGGAGACCTTGACTGATGATGGGCGATGCGAACAAATATTCCGAGACGGACTCATGCGTTTACCATCTGGTCGTTTTGCCGTGCCACTACCGTTCCGCGCACCCGTTTCCGACCGTACATTTGATCGATCCCGTGAAACAGCAATAAAGTGGTTCGAATTGTTAGAACGAAAACTGACCACTGATCCTAAGCTTTAGTCGATGTATAAGGACTTCATGGCCGAATATCTCGCGCTTGGTCATATGTCGGTTGCAACCACCCCCGGGCAATATTATATTCCCCACCATGCTATATGTAAGAATGATGGTGTAGATACGAAAATTAGAGTAGTCTTTGACGCATCCTCGAAAGGTCCCACCGGTATGTCGTTGAATCGCGCGTTGCTTCCCGAACCCAAATTACAGCGCGATATAGTTGATATCTTAATCCGTTTCCGTTTATTTCGACACGTATTCACGGCGAACATCTGTAAGATGTACCGTCAAATTTTGATTTTACCTGAGTTTCGTGCTTATCAGCACGTATTGTGCCACGACTCCCCACTTGATCAAGTGATCGATTATGAACTTAATACCGTGACGTATGGAATAAACTGCGCCCCCTTTTTAACCCTCTGCGCATCATAGCTGACAGTAATTGTGATTCGTTTCCACGAGTTCGCGACGAGTTATGTTATCAAACATACGTCGACGACATCTGTTACGGGGTGGATACCATTACCGACGCGTCGCTGTCTAAACGGAACTAAATGCAATACTAGCGCGGTCAGGTCTCGAATTACGTAAATGGTCAAGTAATACCCCGGCTATCTTGCAGGCCGTACCGGCCGATCATTACGTCGTAAAATCTACGTCATTCCCCGACGACGATAGCGTAGGCACGAAGGTTCTCTGTAAACACTGGTATCCGAGCGATGATTATTTTTGTTGTGAACTCAGTTTAAAGCTATCACCAACATTCACGAAACGTGGTATCTTTTCACTGATGGCCCAATTCTTTGATCCATTGGGTTTGTTTGCAACCCTGCGATTTTTTGGCTAAACATATAATGCAACGTACATGGCAGGCGACGTGTGGGTGGGACGGCCCGTTGCCATGCGACATTCGCACTGATGGGGCACAATTCGTGGTCGAGTTGCCACAGCTGTCGACCTTTCGCGTTCCGCGGTTTTGCAACACCTCTCCGGGTACGATATGTTTTTTATACGGTTTTTGTGACGCGTCATTACGAGGGTACGCGGCTGTGCTTTATTTGCGCGTACTCGATGCACCACTAGATTCGTCTGTCTTTCTTATCGGTACAAAGAACAAATTAGCTCCAATCAAAGTTTTGACGGTGCCACGATTAGAGCTAAAAGCTGCCTTGTTGCTCATTCGATGGTTGAATCGTGTAAAGGTGGCTCTAGGGAATCGCGTTACCATTGTAGACACTTTCGCGTGGACGGACTCATTAGTGGTACTTTCGTGGTTGACTGTACCACACGAAATGTTTAAAAAATACGTGTCAAACCGCATACATCAGATTCAATCCGTTTTACCAGATTGTCATTGGCGATATGAGTCGACGCTTGATAACCCCGCCGACTGTGCGTCACGTGGAATAATGCCGTCAGAATTACCAAAATGTATGTTATATTGGCTCGGCCCGAAGTTTATTAGGGACCATCCGAATGAATGGGGGAGGGATAAGGATCGTCTACCATGTTCCGACTTGCCCGAAATCCGGCCTATCAACCTCTTAGTACAACCTAAAGACCCCCCTTCGGAGTGGTTCGCGCGCTTTTCTTCCTACGATCATATGATTCGTGTAGTGGCCAAGATGCGCTGTATCCTACCAAAAAGTCGTCACCGTGCTGCCGAAGTGACACTGGTCCTCACGCGTTTCGAGCTCGACGATGCGTTACGCATTATTGTCCTTCATTCACAACAGTATTTTTTTGACGAACTTCGTGACAAATTGCGTAAGAATGCCCGTGTATCTTCGAAGCCGCTTGCTCGGCTATGCCCGTTTATCGATGACCAGGGAGTCTGCGTAGGAGGTCGACTAAGACATTCCAACCTACCGTTCGAAACGATAAACCCAATACTATTGTCGAAGTGTTCTTTTTTATCGACATTAATTTGCCGACGTTGGCATAAAATTAAGTGTCGTCCTGGGTCACGCTTAATGTCCGCGATGATCCGCCGACACTTTTGGATTGTGTCGCTTCGCTCGGTTATCCACACTATCTTGACACAATGTGCGGCGTGTGTGCGTTTTGACGGTTGTAACCCACAACCATTGATGGCCGATTTGGCATTTCAACTCCCCTGCGGCCCCTCATTTTGGTGGGCTTTGGAAAGCCGCAGTACGCTCAACAAAAAGGTTGCTCACCCGCGTTGTAGGTTCACACGTTCTGACTTACGAAGAATTTATTACAGTATTGTGTCTGGTGGAAGCCGCTTTAAATTCGCGACCTCTTACTCCGTTATCATCAGATCCGCTCGATCTTGAATGTTTGACACTGGGGCATTTTCTCGTCGGTCAACCACTGCTCGCTGTGCCTCCTCGGTCACCCGCATACCCAGATCGACCTATAGTCAATAGGTGGAAATTATTAGATCATTGTCACCAAACGTTCTGGCACCGGTGGTCGACCGAGTACCTTCATACTCTCCTAGAACAGGTTAAATGGACCGATAGCCGTCCCAACGTCAAAGTAAACGATATGGTAGTTCTTCGGGACCCCTTAGCGCCGCCTTTAGAATGGCGACTTGGTCGCGTAACTGGTGTCGAACCGGGGGCCGACGGAGTGGTCCGGGTCGTGCACGTATTGAAGTCCCGTGGCATGATTACCCGTCCAGTGGTCAAAGTAATAGTGCTTCCTACCGACGGCCAGTAACACTTAACCATAATTATTAATTCCTTTTAGTATTTACCAATATACTCGCACAATTGCTTATGGTTATAGTTTGTGTTCTCGCATTGAGCTCCCCAACTTCAAGAAGAACGTATTTCATAGTCAGATGTGCATCACCACGATTCCTGCGCCTTCGACTATTTCTTATTCTACGATATGTGAGGCAACGCCTCCCATAGGGGGAGGATGTTCGAACCGGAGTCGTTTTCGCGTATTTGACTAGCAGTGTGTCCATTTGACACCTGTCTGGTCACGCCGCTGGTTTTACGACGACGAAGTGCGCTTGCTCGAACTTTTGGCGACCGACGTCACTGACCACCGGTTGTTCTGCGGTCCGTCGTTGTCGTCTTTGTCTTTTTACCACCGCCGTCCGGTATAGTTCGGCGTGACCGTGGCTGTCGGTCGCTTTTGTTGTACCACGTTGACGTCGTGTGTCGACCGACAACCTTTTTTGATACTGTGTGCGGGTTTGATTCCCCAACATCACTCGTCGCACGTAACTACACGTGCTCGCACTTTCGCATATACAGTAAAACCTGTGTAATATGGAGCCTGAATAACGTGGAAACCTGACTTTTATGGAAAAATGTTACGGTCCCGGCGAATCTAATGTAGTTTTAAATGCATCGTTCCCTGAATAAGATGGAACCTGTTTAACGTGGAAATGGAAACAATATTTTGTCATATACCTGTATATCATGGGAATATGTACATGTACTATTTTAAAATTATCAGTCAATGAATATAATCTATATCATTTATATAGATTATTCGTTGCAATAAGTTTATTTTATCGATAAGTGTCGTAGTAGTGTTCTGACGTAGACTGTGTATAGACGTATATTCAATATGACGTCCAAAAATAAATGTTTAACACTAAATGAAAAAATTAAGCTAATTGAGTCAAGTGAAAAAGATAAATGAACAGTAAAACAAATTTTTGAACTTTTCAAATGTGGAAAAAGTCAAGTGTATAATATATTAAAGCAAAAAAATGAAATAAAAGAACAATGGATGAATTGTATGCAATAAGCTTAACTATAAAAATGTAAAATTCAAAATTCTATGTATGTACGTATAATTTTCATTTTAGGAAATGGGCGAATGAAAAGAAAAACAAAATCCAACGCTAATGAAGAAATTAATAATTTGACTTGGGAGTGGTTAGTAAGTGCTAGAGCAAAAAATATACCAATTTCTGGACAAATTATACAGACTAAAGCGCGCCAAATTGCTGAACAAATGTCAGTCACCGAATTTAAAGCATCGAATGGGTGGTTATGGAAAGTTTTAAAAATCGACATAATATTGTTTGGTATCAAATTTGCGGTGAGTCAAATAGTGTTGATGTTCAAAATGTTGATGAATGGAAGGTGAAATTAAAACTAATTATTGAAGGATATGAACCTAAAAATATTTATAATGGTGATGAAACGGGTTTATTCTTTCGCGCATTACCAAGTAAAACACTATCAGTGAAAAGTGAAGAGTGTAAAGGTGGTAAGCTTTCCAAAGAACGTTTAACGGTATTTTTATGTGCTAACATGGAAGGAGAATTTGAAAATTCTCTTGTTATAGTCAAAGCACAAAAACCCAGGTGCTTCAAAAATGTAGATCTGACAAAATTTCCCGTAATTTGGCGAGCTAATAATAAAGCATGGATGACTGGAAGCATATTGGAAGATTGGTTGCATACATTCAACAATAAATTTGAAAAACAAAATCGAAGAGTTATTTTATTTCTTGATAATGCAACATGTCATCCGCATTTAAATTTGTCAAATGTTCGTTTAGCGTTGCTTCCAGCTAACACGACATCACTTAACCAACCTATGGACCAAGGAATTATTTATTCGATTAAAGTAAACTATCTTAAAATGGTTTTACAATCATTATTAGCAAGTATGGATAGCATAAAAAGTGTTAATGAATTACCAAATAAAATTAATGTACTAGATGCAATTTATTGGTTGAATAAATCTGTAAACCAGATACAGTCAAAAAATGTTACATAAAAACCGGGTTTAATTTAGTTTTGGACCAGCCAACAGATGCCATTAACGATAACGATAACGAGTTTAAATTGCTATGTTCTACAATAAATGAAAAAGTAGATAGTGATGAATATGTTAACATCGATAAGCATTTATGTACTTATGATACTGTTATTATTAATAATACTACAGTTAAACCTTGCACTTCTATAGACGTTGAACAATCCAGTTCCGAAGACGAAACATTTAATGTACCATTGCACGGCAATGATATTAAAACGTATAAGAACGCCCTCCATGAAATAAAACGATTAGAAATGTTCGCATTAGATCAAAATAATGAAAATGAACTTCTTGAATCAATTCTCAACTTGAAAAATTTAGTAGTAAAGAAAATGGCAAGTCAAGTAAGAAAACAAAAAACATTGGATGATTATGGAGTAAAATGCAATAGTAAATAATATGTAAAATATATGAAATAAATAAATTAATAATAAATAATAAATTATATTTAATAAAGATCTGTCGTGAATTTTTTTTTTTTGCAACCTGCATTAAATGGAAACCTGTCTAAAATGGAAAAAATATCCGGTCCCAACTATTTTCATATTACATAGGTTTTACTGTATTATATTATACTCAAACGCGGAGTTCTCGTGTGGCTCGTGACATTGTATAATCACGAGGTCAACGGTCAGACAACGGATTCACCATCGTCGAGCAATCTACAATTTAATTTGGCGAATTCGATGGATTGCGCAAACTATTCTTATCGATATCCGTCTTCGTCGTGGGATTCCGCCACCAGTTGTGACCAGGCACCAGCGGTATCGTTGATATTATTATTATTCTATTTTTTTGTGTTTGTATTAATTTGCATATTGCGCATTTGTTGTGCCCTTTATACTATATAATTTCATTGGTATTATTATTATTATTATTATTATTTTTTACAATCGTCCGAAGAGACGTCTTTGGCGTTGTACTGTGTTGTATTGTTTGTGGTTTATGAAGCGATTGATTATTATATATTTATTTTTATACCATATTTCTTGTTTTTAATATTATCATATTTTACTCCCACACATTCCGCGAGTCGCTCAGCAAACTGCCCAAGCAAGTGCTGGCACCGCAAACAGGTGTAAAACGATGCTTATCTCCCGTTATCGTTTTTTTCCTTTTTTTCCAAAACCGTCGAAATTTTCCCTTTTCGCCTCCCGTTCGCCGCTCGTCGACTCTTCTCTCACGAGTTTTCCCGGTTGGTAGAATCGGGTTAGACTTGGTTATGATTCAATTTGTGAAACAATAATTAATAATAAAACAGAATATATTAATTGATATAATATTTATCTTGTGTGGCATATTGTCTACGTTTAGTCATACTGACAGTACAGCTGTAACTGAGCTTAACGCACAAAAAACAATTCTAAATTCTGGGTCTAATTACATTTATTATTTGTCGACAGAGCTATTTTCTTCAAATAAACTATTTATTTTTATTTAATAAATTAAACCGACATTAACTAGACGTTGCTAGGCGAACACACATTTCTGTTGTTTGAATTTACTCACAGACAGTACATAATAAATACTGTTACAATATTATAGATTTGAGATGACAGTTATAAATTCCGTGTCTGTTAAAATGACAAATACATGATTATACTTATTAAATCAAATTGATAATTGACATTCAAACACAGTATGTTTTCAGTTCCATTTAATCCGATACACTGACTTGGACTGAATTCACTCAAACATACTTTATAATATTAAATGTAAGATATATTTAGACTGACTGATGTAGATTATAAATCCAGGATAGTATACTGGATATTTTATAATATACATTCAATGAGCAACGTTCAACTGTTCTTATGTTGTCTAAAGTATGCTCTGTTATGTGGTTCATTTATACTTAAATAAACATAAACTTATGTACCTACTTTATTTTATAATTGATGTATTTGTATATATTAGTGTACTAACATAGTAATAATAGTAGTAATAGTAATAGTAATAGTCTGTAGTAATAGTCTTTTCTTTTTTAATAAAATATATCTGAAAAGGCAGTCATTGCTTTCATTGCCTTTCATATTACATAGGTATACTATGCATATGCATTTATACATATTTCTTTTTTTTAAATTCAATAAATTACATTATATTACTTTGAGTTTTTGGTTTTGTATTCGATAGTCACAAGGTAATCCTATAGAATAGCTACTCCGTCTCACCATAGGTTCCTCATGTTGGTAGTTGGATATTCAATTGTAGAATAGAAGTGAAGTTAAACGTTTGTCGACGTCGATCGAATCAGCCTGTTTTTACAGCCACTGTTATTATACTACCAAAGTAATCCCCCAATTATATGTTAATGTACATAAGGGCAAATAATGTGAGTAGGTCAGTCAATGTTGTTAACTCATAATATAATAGTATATTGATGTAGTATATTAGTCAGTTAAGCTCACCAAATGTGAAATCTGAATAAATATGTATAGTTAATTCGAGACCTAGCCTAGAAGGTTTTACATTGTAGATCCGGAGTTGTTTTGAACTGAATTGTAAGAACCCGTGCAGGAAGCGAGTTTGATCCCACCGGGATAATGTATTATGTCCTTTAATAGGCTTTTGCCAAAACAATGCTCCCTTATAGCTGCCCACCACAAATTTTCAATCTCTCCCTTTCTGTGTAAAATATTCTTACATATCCTTAAATCAAGGCTTGATTGGTGGCTTGACACCAACTCTATCCTATCGACAAATATATTTGCATTCAGGAAAGGTCTGAGAACCACGGAATACCTCGCAACGTTCATAGGTCATATCTATCGCTCCTTTAATAACAACAATTTTTTTTTGCTACTTTCGTTGTTATCCGTGGCACCTTTGACTCCGTCCATATCTCCACTCTTATATCACATCTTTTTTCTTTATATGCTCCTCCTAAATTCTGCAATATATTTCTCTCTCTCTCTTAAATCACAGAAATCTCGTATTCTCCTCTAATATTGGCTCATATAATATTCGTTCTACATTCACAGGTCTCCCACAGGGCAGTTGCCATAGCCCATTACTATTAAATATATATATGAGCATTGTCGAAAAGTAACTAACGTCACTCGGACACCAATGTCTCAATTACGCTGATGATATTGTCTGACTCAGTAGAGACGACATTTTATAGGATGAAAATGTTGTAAAGGACCGATTTGCAGAATATTCTAATAATTTAAATGATGGAGATCACATTGATGTTCTTAGCTTACACAGAGACGATCCATTAGAACACAGCAATAAATCAAAAAGAGATGAAGTCATGGAAAACGAATTTGAATCAATAAGTAAAGATAGCAATGAACATCGAGAACACGAACAAGGAAATGGTCATATGTCAAAGTGTACAACTTTTGCGAGATAGAAGTAATATTAAGAAATCATTCCTTTCCTAACTAGCACCAAAACATTCATAATGTGTGAAAAGAATATTCATTTGACTATGATCGAATAATCATATAATATTCTAGATTCTTCTATCAACCCTCTATCAATCTACTAATCTCCTCCAAAAGCTGCTAAATGAGCCACTTATAATCAGTCTATGAATATACTATCAATATGCAATATGACATCAATAGTTCAAAACGAATATTCATTGAATGATTATGATTAATAAAAGCATATTCTATATGGATATTCAAAATTGAAGTCTTAAAATAACTGGTGATATTATGCATAGAATAAGATATTAATATTCATTTCTTAGTCATTAAATAATATAGGTAGAAGCTATATATATAATTATATAGTTACCGTTATTACTAATTTATATACATATTAATTGTTATACCATATTTTATATATAAAAATATATACATAAAATTGTTATATATATATAAATTAATAAAATATGGTTAACAATAAATAGATTGTGTACTAAATTATAATGCGTGATTATATATTTAGTTATGAAGTAGATTACCCATTTGCAATAGGAAAAACGTGTTTATAATTTTTTTTCCGTTTAAATATTTATATAAATTCAAAACAATGTATTTATTTAGATTTCAGTAACTTTAATTTTTAGTAAAATAAATACATTAAAAAAAAACTTTATAACGAAAACTAGTCGAGCAATAGATTAATATTTTAAACAGGTAGGATTAGGAATACCTAGGTTTAAATTATAAGTATTAATTATTAATATATAAGTGTATATATTATTCATATAATTTATAAAAAAAAGATGAAAATAAAGATATTTTTTAACATAATATTTGCACATCTTGCATTTAAATTATAATATATGTGATTAAAAATGAATATTTATAACAGGTGATAATTTCTAAAAAGAAATCATCACAAATAAAATACATTAAAAATAAATTGTACAACATTATAATATATAACTAGCCAAGCTAGATTAACATTTTAAATATAAGTAAAGTATAAATAAGTATTATTACTTATATAATTTATAAAACAAATAAAAATAAAGATATTGTTTAACGTAATATTTGCACATCTTGCATTTAAATTATAATATATGTGATTAAAAATGAATATTTATAACAAGTGATAATTTCTAAAAAGAAATCATAACCAATAAAATACATT